AATAATAATAATAATATTAATAATAATAATAATAACAACTCCTTTATTTAGACACGATAATGTTTAAAGTTGAACAGCTTGTGGGGTTGTGTGTAAATCCAAATAAACTCTAAATTAAATAAATTTAAATGATGATGGTTTTTGATGAGAGGGGAAAACCAGAGTACCCAGAGAAAAACCTCTGGGCTCCCTTAAATTTTTTTTAGAGCACAGCCTGGTGGCTGCTGAATTTTAGATTTTTATGACCTTTGTGAATTGACTTGTACAGTTTTGTTTTCTAAAACTGGCTATTTCAATTCTCATCTTGCAGGGTATTGAATGGGAATCAATTGAGTACTTTAACAATTCTATTATCTGCGATTTGATTGAAAAGGTGAGTGCGACTTGAGGATCTTCTCTCTCTCATGCAGCGAAGGGAACTCATTCGTGTCTTTGGCTGTTAGCATGACATGCATTTTTTGCTTTTTCTTATTTGTTACAGAGAAATTTTACCATTCCAGAGTGTACTGATAGTGCAGATGCTACTCTAGATGGCGTTGTTAGTGTTTCAACCAGTCATTCACTTTTGCAGCTTATAAATTCAGTTATTTCACTGACTGCACAATACTTTTGTGTTATTTTTGCACCCATATCTTCAATTTGATGTACCTGTACATTCCAGAAATTACATATTTTTTTGTATTGTACTAAAAAATCGTGCACCTATGTTGGGCTATGGTCAGTTGTTTTGATAATGAAGAATGGATCATTTAATGTGATCGTTCAGGTGAGTGTAGTCCTGAAAAATGCTGTTATTCCTGGGAGTATGTGTCATGGACATCAGTCCTTATCTCCACGACATTCCCACCGGCTTATGCTATAAATTATTATGTGGAAGGTCCGTATGGGAGAAAACTGTACTCACGACAAAGAGCACAGTTTTTTTCAATACGAACCGACCTAGACTTATTTGTTTTTTTGTTTTTTTTTTCTGCTGGTTTCCTGTTTATCGCTTTGCCGTAAAAGGCACGGAAAAATTTCGGACCGTGGTCCATTTTGTAAAATGCTGGACCAGTCATGAGCGCTCAAACTGAGGATTTTAGATGCGGCCATCTAAGATGCTTCAGAAAAAAAAAAGTAATGCTATCACTATTGGGTTCAAGCCATTTAATGGGCAGTGAATAATGTTTTATGAAAATTACCTTTCTATCATTTCTTCTTAGACTCATGTCGGAATCATACCACTTCTTGACGAGGAATGTTTAAGACCTGGAGAGGTGAGCACGGTCCCTTTAAACTCTTCCATTTTTGTACCATCAGAGGGTTGTGCTTGACAAGTCCAGTTGGTTCAAACAGAAAGATGAATAAATCTTATTGTTACCTATATTTATTACACTCACCTGGGTGAGTTTATAAATCTTTTGAGGTGTATCTTGCTTGTATTTCTCTAGGTCAGCGATATGACGTTTATTGCTAAGCTCAACGCGCATTGCTGCGAGCATCCACACTTCGAGAGCAGAGGAAGCAAGAAATTCCTGTCTGATACGACTTTGCCGCATGACTGTTTCAGGCTCAGACATTACGCTGGGAGTGTAAGTAGTTCACCAAAGCCCTTCAAGCTCCTCTACATAAAATGGCAGGGAACTTGCTGCAGGCGTTTTGCCCCTGCCATTTTACCCTAACGCCTGTCTCGCCCTATGCGTGTCTAGCCCCGCGCGTGAGTGTCGCGCTTCGCGCTTGCCTCGTGCTACCTTCTGGTCGCCTGAAAATTCGTAAAAAATATACCTTTTTGACCTGTTTGGCAAGGCTAGATGAGCTCTTGTAACTATGCTAGTCAGTAAGTCAGTCTTGTGGGTAGACATTTTACCCATGAGGTACTTCTGTTCAGTTGGGAATTGCTTTCCAAACTTTTTCTAAACTATTCATTTGCACTACTTACAAACTTTCCCACTCTGTAAGAGATCATCGTGTGCCTTTCAGGCAGGGAGCATTAAATTTTTATTGGGAGGGGTGGGTGAGATTTTTATGCTGATTTATAATGAATAATACAGATAATCAGCAGCGGAAAACAGGTCGATTTGGAGGAATTGATCAGTAGGAAAACACATTATGGGCAACAAGTTAAAGCTTTTGCCGTGGGTCAAGTAACGGTGAGAAAGGTCTGAAGCCTTGGCAGCCTGAACCGTGATTTCCACGGTCCTCAATTTTTTTTTGTTTTTTTTGTTTTTTTTGCTCCTTTAACAGGTAACATATTGCGTAACTGGTTTTCTGGACAAAAATAACGATTTGTTATATAGAGATCTCTCCCAGTGCCTCTATGCTTGTGGTCATCCATTGGCAAGAACGCTCTTCCCGGACGGTAAGATAACGACGAATAAACTACCTTTGTTATTTTTTTTACATTGATCGATTCATTCGACCGCTATGGTCCGTTGTCTATTGGACTGAAAGTGAAAGTTGAAACTGCGTTGCGAGCATGGGTCGCGCTATAGTTTTGCGAGGAAAATCAGAGTTAGTAAGATAAAGTAATACAAAGGGAGGTCATTAAATGCACTGACAGAACAAATACACAATATGTTATGTGAAGCTACCTTTGTGATTTATGCCTGAGGCTCTGTCTTAAAGAATAACTGATATCGTTTGTTACGCTGACGTAACGCTCGTCTGTCTCTACAGGTTGTCCGACCAAGGCAACCAAAAAAAGACCACCCACCACAGGAACTCAGTTCAAGGTAAACTATATCTAAAGTGATCTCCACGTTAATGCGCAGTTATTGTTGAGGTAGTAGAGAGCAATTTTCATTTGATTGTCGAAAGACATCATGGATTCGTTAATTTTGCTTCAAAGTTCGCTGTAATTGCGGCTCTTTTCATTTGCGCTTCTCTGCAATTTGAGATTCTTTGCCTTGTTCAAATTAGCCGTTGTGCTTACATCGGTTTACGACCCTTAATTGAATAGGGAGATTGAAATAATTTCTTTGAAACGAGATATATTTGGGCTGAGTGACATAGTACGCTTTGTATGCAAGTAAGCTGGACACAGTTTACCTTAACTACGACATAATAAGCATGAAATTCTCAGTATTTGCCTTGTTGTTCGACCAGAAGGTCATTGGTACTGTTATTAAACACGTTTTTAGAAACAGTCAAACCCCTATGCTTTTGTACCGTGGGTACCTTGGCTGTAAATCTGAAGACCATGTTTTCTTGACATGTGGAATCTCTCTTCTTTCTGACAGGTTTCAGTCTCTGAGTTGATGAAAAATCTTAAAACTAAGAACCCTCATTACATCAGATGCATCAAGGTACGTTACCTCTTTATTTCATTTTCATTGCAAAGGATTTGCAATTAGTAGCCACTGAATTATTTGCCCTTACTATTTTACTTAAGTATAGCTTCAGGCTAGGACTTTCTATTAGCGGGCGTGTTCCGTTCTTAAGTTAGTGACGCTAATTTGGGCGAGCAAAGACGCCCGCGGTGCAGGCTAAAGCTAGTGGAAAATCACCCACGGACAGATAAAACAGGGGAAATAAAAAAAGTACATGTACAAATGCCTGCATTGCTCGATCGTTTTCACCTGTTCAAAACCCTTCTCTTTTTTTCCTTTTCAGCCAAACGACAGAAAAGTTGCAGGACTGTTCGATGACAAACTAGTAAGACACCAGATACGATATCTCGGGTGAGGCTATCTATTCAGTTTCCTAATCTTGTATAACCTTCAGGGGAATGCTTAGAGTATTGGATATCATGAAAGATTAGCCTGGAGCGGTAGGTCCAGTCGAAGCCTTGGACAAACTTAACGGGGATTCGTTGCTGTTTGTGTATCTTATTAGTCTCACCGTAAAGTTTACATTTTGTTATTTGCAGTCTCGATAAACCCTATTTTTGTTTCATTTTAAGTCACTCACGTTTTTTCGTTGTTTGTCAGCTCTCACAAACTGGTTACCCTTTATTCATAGGTAATTTTGAACGTCGTAAGGATTTGTAAACCCACTGACCGAGTTCTGGTGTTTGAAGTAATCTTCCTTGTTGGGTCTTTTATCCAGGTTGATGGAGAACATTCGCGTTCGAAGAGCAGGATTTGCATTTAGACAGGAATATGACATTGCACTTGAGAGGTAACATACAGTTCCTTTTCCTTGACATGTTTCTGTTTAAACATATGAACCAATCAGTCAGTTTATTCTTAACAGGTAGTCTGTAGATCCTAAGGAAATTTTAGAGCGCTTTTCGTTTGAGTTTTTTTTATAACCAAATCCAGTGTCATCACAGCGACCAATCAGAAGAGAGTAAATTTCAAACGGCGCCATTGGAAGAACGAAGTGAGTTCTTAACCGGCGCCAAGCGCGGGAAAGCGTGAAGGACCAGGTCACGTGTAGCTTAAGTTTTGCCTCGGATTGGCTGAGAGGGTTTTAATTATAGAGTGCGGTGAAGAGAACTAATGCCACTTAGGATCAACTCAAGCACAACTACAAAAAGGCAGCAAAGCTTACTAAACTAAACATTTGCTTGTTCAGGTACAAGATGCTTTGTAAAAAGACCTGGCCCAACTGGGTGGGCATGCCAAAAGAAGGCCTCAAAGAACTACTTAAGGTACTTTCTATCGTTAAGCTATTCCGGATTTTCGGTCACTGGAGATGAGAGAAAGAGCGGTCGAGCCAAAACCGGCGGTCGTTTAGGGAACGGCTGTGAACCCCCCCCCCTCTCCGTTTTTGCGCGCTCGCTTTTCCGCTCGAGCACGGCTTTTTTATCTATCAATTTACATGAACGCTCAGTCAAGTTTTTACCGTTGCTAGGAAAGAACTTATATGTGCGTATTTTAGTGAGAGTGTTTCTCAGAGATGTGTCATAAGCGAAGAACGGTTCTGGAAAGTATGTTAATGATTATCTTTTTCTTTTAGAGTCTGAATATCAAACCAAATGCGTACGCGTATGGAAGAACAAAGATCTTTATTAGGAATCCACGAACGGTGAGATATGTTAATGGGAGAAGGAATCGGTATTTAAGATTGTGAACTACTATTTCTTAACTTTATATTCGACAAAAGTCGGAATTTGTAGTTGTAAAACCTTCTGATCTTCTGCCGCGTTTCGTTTGACTAAATTAGACTTCTTGGGTAGGCTTACTGAATAAAGGCAAAATATTTCTCCAATATATGTTCAAGGTGACTTTGTTTTATGCGATCATATCCTAAGCGCAAATTCTCTGCACTTTGATTTCTGCAGTTGTTCGATCTGGAGGAGAAGCGTCTTCAAGGAATGCATCATTTAGCTGTCATCATTCAGAAGATGTTCAGGGGTTGGAGACAGAGAACCAAAGTATGCACTGTTTAAGCAACGCGGGTCATTTCCGTGTCTACATAGCCTCATTTAAGTACGAGTGAGGCGATAAGATTTAAGATGGATATGCAAACCCGAAAGGCAGTTGATGGTTTGTATAAGTTTTGAGAACTCTCCCAACCCCTCCCCCCACTGTGGTTGAGTAAGGCTACGCAATCACGGAAAAAAGGCCCCTGTAGCGTTTATAAATGATTAAACCGTATCTAAGTACGTTGATCCAAACACACCTATCGACCATTAAGAACGTGCGTCCTATCCTGGATATTTGATAACGTTTATTTGTTCCAGACTCCAGCGAGTGAAGCAGTCAAATCGTGTGTCATTTGTATTTTCGGGAATTTACAGTACAGAGAGAGGCCGTTTGGGACCTGAGCAAACTGTCTTTCAGTTGTATTGCATTTGCTATTTCGATGTTCTTTCTCTCTCTGAGAGAGAGAACATTCCCAAACACTTCAATATTTCGCGCGTCAAGATCTAAGTGCGACGAATAGTTGTTGTTCGGGGAAGGAGCGTGTGGCCTTCCCGAAAGTATCTAACGAACATTCTCGATTGAGAGGCGGAAATGGAGCTGAGGTTAAGGTGCTCTCATAGACCGGAGGGACTTGTAGAGTAACTCTACAGAGACGGTGTAACGCTACTACTACTCCCTTCGAGTTTTTTTCTTCTGTCACTCGCTTTTAAAGCTCTATTTGAAAGCTTATAAATGGCTTAAGAGATGAATCGTGGGTTTTGATAAAAAACAATCTTGCGACGGAATTTTGATTTAAAAAACTAGTATCAAACTGAATCAATTTCTGAGTGTAAGTCTCTGTTTGCGGCCGTAATGTAATCCACCAATAAATGTTCGGTAGTGTGTTTCAAAAGTGATATTGAAAATAAGATTTTTCTTAGTAGAAACCGACAGAAACTCTCAAGACTGCCAAATAAAGGATGCTTTTAATTTGCAATTACAAATTTAGAAATGCGTGCATCTAGAAATGGATTCGACTTCTTTAGTTGTTCAAGTAAACTCTGACACGTGGCGAAACTGAATTAATGTATTGTCAATCAATGCACAGTATCTTAAGATGAAAGAGAGTGAAATAATCATCGCCAAGTATTATCGTGGTTTCAGGGTAAGTAGGGGGGGGGAGGGTCTGACAGATGTTGTGTAAACAGTGCTATTTTCTTTGGTAAGATGTTAAACATTTGCCACTAGCTTGAGACAAAGAAGAATTTTGAGTCATGTGTCACGAATCGAACGTTAGAATTCCAGTCCGATTCTCTACCAAGTGAGCAACGGAGAACTCTTTTTGATTAGCTAAACGGATTATGAGAATTATGAAAATCGTCAGCCAGTGAATGTGGTGTGGATAATTATGAAGAGCCAGATTCTTACATAGCCGAAAGAGAGATTTATAATAATCTGTAATATAGGCCTTTTTAGGTCTTGGAAGTTCAAACCTAACCCTAAAATGTAACACCTAAAACGTGTACATTTTCTCAGCGTTTTCCGCATTTTTCCCTTGTCAGATCTAAGAGTAGTTAACATTTCTCAGAGCTTCGCAGAAAACTCATTAGTCTCATGACTTCCGCTCAGGTTGTCAAAATGTCAGTCACCACAACCGACAACAGCCCTTCTTAGAACTGCGTTCGCCCGGACGAACAGGTTTCGTTATCGCTTGTTACCCCCGGGTTCAAACCATTTACTGTAATAGTTTGATAATTTATTCTCTGTTCACTTCCGCAGGATCATCGGACTTATCTTAAAAAGAGAAGCGCAGCCATTACCATCGCTTGTTTTGTTCGCGGCTGGAAGGTATGTAATTCAATTCTGAAAATGATATGCGAACTGAACATGAATAAGCCGGGAAACCTCTTACTCCCTCAAGTTTAGGTGGCGGAGCAGGGGGGACAGGGGGTTGTAGCCCCCCCCCGCCCCCTGTCCCAAACAAAAATTTGGTTTAACGCCGAAAATATCGCAAACGTAGCAAAGAAATTGGCCAAAGGTTCTGTCTCGTGTCGGAGAAGCTTATCAACTGTTGCAATTTTCCATTTAACCCAGATAGCCATGGTTTAATATTGTCGTGGGAACCCAGGCGAATGCTACGCTGAAAAATTTTGGACTGTGCCAAAAAAAAAGAAAGTAGGGCACGAATGGATTACAGGCACACTCAAAACTGTCAAGAGGTTTGTTTGTGCCAACGAAGAACACAAAAGGGATTTTGGAAAATTTGAGTAAT